GGATTGAGGAGGTCTTCAAAGTATTCCGCCCACCGGCACACAAAAAAAGTAAATAGGTATAATAATATAATATAATATTCAGCCATCTCAAATCCCAAGCTGTGATGTCCCTAACAAGCCGAACATTCGGATTTTTGAACGGCTGACATAGCTGAAAGTATGAAGAAGCAGTGAGTCTAAAACCATACAGAAAAAAACCTCTAAAGAGGAAAACTAGAGTGTGACCATGAAGTACAAACACATGTCTGGTTAATCTCTGGTAAAGTACCTCTGTGTCAGATTTGAGAGTCATTCTCTGGCAGGTTCCTCTCTCTGTCATTCCCTCCGGACACTCTTGGACCGTGTACTCCACAAAGATGGCTTTTTTTGGCACACCCTGTATGAGGACATTTACATGGCAAACAGCACAAATACATCCTCAAACACTGGCAGAGGAGGCAGAAAAGTTTGATTCTGTAACGTCTGCTGATTTTTTTTTTTTAAATTTTTTTTTGGAGTTGGTCTCTAAACTACGGAGCCCGCGAGGGGACATGGGGAGATTTTTTTCTTTTGCATTCCCTCGCAAAACTTTTGCGTTCCCTCGCAATATTGTTTTGCGTTCCCACGCAAAAGTTTGATTTGTATATGAACTGAATTAAATCAGACTTTATTTTTGAAATATCCGGTTCCCAAAACAGGATGTGTCGCCACAAGTTCGTGAACTTGACACTGATGTTGCGTGGCTGCGCTGTGTGTTAAAATATGAGCATATGGCATACTTCCATGTGTGGCTGTGTGATATATTCATTCTGAAGCTGAATTAAAGCAGTAGGCTAACTCGCTAATGGTAAACATGAGTTTGTTAATAAACCGGCAGGCACAACATTGATAAACGACTTATGCGAGGGAACGCAAAAGTATTGCATGGGAGCGCAAAAGAAAAAAAAATCTCCCATGTCCCCTGGCGGGCTCCGTACTAAGCCACCAAATCATCTGCAGTGAGAGGCAATAAAGRAACCTTTGGTCTACAAACTATTTTCTTCCTCAGCGCATAAAGCACCCAAACTAAAGCACTTTGGTTGAGCCATCGAAACGTGGCCAGACTCTTGTGTTAATAAAGCATTATAGTTATTGTTGAGCAGTAATGGTTTCATCTTGTGCACAGCAGCTCCTTCGTGCACCGTGAAGCCGGCTCACATACACCCAGAGATTAATCTGGGGTGTCATTCGCTCATAAAGGTAACGTTCCACACATCGCCGAGCAGTGAATTCAGCCGCGGAGCTTTTATTTCCATCAGGGTTGACTGTACCCGTGCTGCGGCTCTGGTGACCTTTTTCACTCCAAGTCCCGCACCCAGAGCGGACTTTCTCTTGTAGGACACCAGAGTGAGGCCGGCGGCGTTCGCGGCGTCGGGGTGGTCGATGGGAAGCAGGAGGGGGCAGGTCGGGCAGGTCTGCTGCAGCTTCTCRGGATGATCTGCAGGAAAATACAGGTCCTGAAATGGATTTCTGSTTTATTTGTCATGTAGAGGCAAAGGAAAACACACTTTTGTTTGGAGGTCTTTAACTGTCAGAATTAACTCAAAATATATGAGTTTGCAAACACATAAAAGACAAAACAGGAATTAATTTGCAAACAAAACAAAAAAAAAAAACATCATAAATGAAAAATACTGAGAAGAATTGAAATAAATGAGTTACCATAGCTAATGTCTGATTGGTCACAGTGAGAAACACACAGTCCAATTAATTTGCAATTAATTAAGTCTCAGCACCGCTCAGCTGTTTCAGTAAAATATTGCTAATCTTATTAGTTACATCTGTTTGGACAAATTAATGTGACAAATGTCTTTTTCTCTTTGCTTTTATTCAGTAGAATACACAGTGATTCCCTTATGTTACTTTGGACTTCCAGTTAACATTATACTGTATTTTAAACAAGTATAATTTCCCACCATAAACAGCAGCTTTTTTCAAKAACTTTAGCTGCCATTCTGTAATAAATGTATCCAAGTTTTAAATTCAATTTTGAAATTACTAACATATTTGAACAATAGTATTAAAAGTATAAAATACTGGRATGATGGCGTTAATACCTGGGACTAGAGCGCAGTCGTAGCTGTACAGGAAGGAGTAGCCATCTGGGGTGTGCAGAATGGTGGTGTTGCAGGTGCCAGAGATTTGCTAAAAGTGATGCATATACACAATCATGTACACAATCATATACACAATCATATACACAATCATGTACACAAATTCTGGTTAATTGTCACTATGAAGACTTTACAAAGTTAAAGCTACAAAAAAACACTTTTCAAAGGGGACATATGCGAAATCCATTGTTGCTGCAAAGATATCATCTGTTTGGGTCATATTTTATCAAATTGTTCAGTTTTCTCTATTTTCTATGACGTTTTCTGAACTATGTTACAGTTTTGGTGATGGAACTGCTAAATAAGGTCTGGACTTGCCAGCTACAATTTGATGGTCTTCATTCTCCTCTGGTTCTGGGTCAGACTCTCATACATGTCAACCCCTTTGAACGTTTACCTGCAATAAGCCTCAAAAATCTGTAATTTTCGCAAAAAAAAAAAAAAAGCATTAATCCCCTGCTGGTCCATACACCTC